TGATCGATAATTCGGGTGGCTCAGTTGTGTGTGATGGGAGTGTAGAGCAGCTCGGCCATGACGGGCCGTAGGGGTAGGTAAAGTCGTACAGGCGTGTTGGAAAATGTGTTGTATACATGTTTTATTCATCGGGGGCGTGCTTGAGCTCGTCATTCCATCACGGCATCAAGTCACGCATAACGCTCAAAAACCCAAAACGAATCTCCATGAATGTCCACCAATCTACCACACTCCCAAGGAAAACATATAGAAACTTCTTGTTCCTCCGTAGTTCGTCACTGCAATACCCGCATATGTATACGCAATATACCACCCGCATGCTATGCTACGAGTATATCGAATAACATATATGTTACGGCGGCGCTCCCGAAAAACCACCGAGCCTTGAACAAGAAGATTCGTGGCGTGAATGGCTGAGCACCATCCTAGCGACACAGATCTCAGGTCGAGCCCTCCACGGCACCACTGATGATGTCTATGATGTTTTGCATGTTGCACTGCTCGCTACAATCAAATCAAGATGGCAACCAACTAATTTCTGTGAATCAATTGATCGCTGACGTGTCTCTTTCGACGTATATCTACACATGCACCGCAGCCCTTCGTGGGGGCACAGGGGACAGAAGGACAGGGCAACACCGAACGTTTCAGCAGGTGCTGCCGCTAGAAACAGCAGGAAAAAAGGCACAGCACATCTCGTCGACAATATTTTACCGACAACAAGGGGGCGGGGATGCTCCGGCATCCAATCAACCGCAGCGGCGAACAACAACGCGCTTCGACCTCACTGCTGCGACCGTCAAACCATCATCATCGACAAGGAGTATCCTCTGGGCACCCCGCTGCCTCATCCAACAAGCCACAAAAATGGCGACCATTCTCTCGCCTTTGTGTATCAGGGGCAAAAAGGGGCTGACCGGGAGGATATCGACCACGGTGCCATATCGGAGGCGGATATCTCACGAGGGCGACGATGTTGTGGATATCGTCTGAGATACCCTTGCCAAGTGGGCAAGGCTGTGCCTCTCGATGGTACTCGACATGATTGGCACCGCGAGCGGTTGAAGATCAGAAGACGGGTACTTCTTGTGCTGTGAAGAGACGTGAAGATATATATGTTAAACACTGGCGCTTAGTTGGCCAACACACAGATAGATCCACAGAGGACGCAGAAGTCCAGATGACGGCAGTTCCTAGAGATGATTATCCAGAGAAGTCCATGCGAGAGATCCATGCGGAGATCCATGCTAGAGTGAGAGACACGCGATCCCTCGAGCAGAGATTGCTACAGCAGTAATTCCTCCGCATACAGGTGCGTTTTCGTATGAACCGAAACATGCAGTATCTACGATGATGCATGATCTACGATAGAGAGCAATGCTACTGAACATTGACTAGTACAGGATATAATCCAATATTTCCATAACACTCCCCCTTAATGATTGCATTGAATCTAAGAGAAAATCTTGTACAAGAAACAAAGTCGTTTGATGCGTCAACCACTAAGTAAGTAAGACAAAAACCAAATGTATTGTGCTTGCAGAGTACTGTTACTGTTTTCCTGCGCTAAACCAAAGTACTACAGTTTCAACCTACCCTAGGAGGCTATTCAACCAGCGATGGTGCGAAGTCGAGAAGTTAACGACTGAACTAGTAAACTGATTCACACAACAAACAACAGATGACAAACACACAAACATTGAAGATGAAGATGTTGAAGATCGTGATCTTGAAAGACGAAGTTGAAGATGTAGAATGCTGTTCTCAATGATGGCGAAAGATGTGAAGCGATGAATGAAGAATCGCCATAACTCCCCCAGAGAAGAATTGTAAGATGAAACTTGTAGTATCAAAACGCGCCAAACAACCCGTCAGGGAGATGGGAGCCTTTCTGGACCATTGAAGGTATCGCGTTCGCCGAAGCCTTAGGCAGGGTCTCCCTTATAGCGTTGAAAGAGAATCCGAACGTGGATGGCTCGGTTCCCTGGTTCTGGGCCAGGTGGGCGCTCCCAAAGTTTGTTGGAAGCCTGCGGTCCCTGTTGTTGCGCTCCGTGGCCGCTTCCGATGTTGGAGACGTTTGCTTGACCAGCAGATTGAAGCAGCGCCAGGTTTGCAGCCAATCCTTTAAGCTCCTTCTGCTTTTGGCATTCATCGTCACCGTGTGTAGTGGTGTTGTGGTATGAGCACCACTTGGGCTGTCCGTCACCACTGCCTTTCTTGCCTTTCTTCCACTTCTTCTTGTTGGTTTGGTTTCCGTCGGTCTTGCAGTGTCCGCACTCGTTGCAGCAAGAGCCCGTTCCTGCGTCAGACATCCTCATTGCCATTCCTCGCCCTGAAATATTAGGCGTTACATTCTTCATGACTATGTTTTAGGCGATGGCAGTATTTTTCAGCGATTTAATATCGAGAAAGTCGTCCTCGTAGTGTCGGTGTCTGATGAACTCGAATTTCTTCGGCAGGGCGTATAGAAGCAAGGACTCGTACACAACATCAGATATTTCCTCCCCCATTTCTTGGAGACGGTCACGCAGGCGTGTTGAAATACAGCGCATTACTGCTGTAGGATGTGTGTAGTAGCATAGATGCAGCTGTATGATTGCTGCACGCAATGGTACGTAGATGCGGTATAATGAGTGACGTTTGGTAGAACGTAACATGTAGCGACGAGTTCTAGCGAGGAGCTCATG